CAGCCTCAGCCTGCCTCAGCCTCAGCCTCAGCCTGCTTCAGCCTCAGCCTCAGTCTGCCTTCAGCCTCGGCCTCAGCCTCAGCCTGCCTCAGCCTCAGCCTGCCTCAGCCTCAGCCTGCCTCAGCATTCAAAATGTTGCACGGGAACAATGTTTTGGGAACTCGAAGACCACGAAATGGCCTACAGTTGGCTCCGGGCATTCAAAATGTGGCCCGGGAGTGGTGTTCTGGGAACTCGAAGACCACGAAATGGCCTACAGTTGGCTCCGGGCATCCAAAATGTGGCCCGGGAATTGAGTTTTGGGAAGTCGAAGAGCACGACGTGGCCTACAGTTGGCTCTGGGCATCCAAAATGTGGCCCGGGAATGGAGTTCTGGGAAGTCGAAGAATACGAAGTGGCGTACGGTTGGCTCCGGGCATTCAAAATGTGGCCCGGGAATGGAGTTTTGGGAGCGCCAAGAGCGATTTTGCGAGGATGTCTTAAGCGAATTGGGTGGCGGCGGCAGAGCGCCGGCAGATCGCCGGATCCCGCCCAGACCCCCCTGGGGAGTCATGATGCTCTCTTTTGACCCTACTAGAAACCTATCAGTCTTCGCTGTTACGTAAAAGCGTTCAGAACCCTATAGACTTAATGTTTCGGCAACGTTGCTCGAGCTGGATCGATCCGTGAGGGCCCCAGGGCCCGAAGCTGGGCGAAAATGCCCGGCGTGAAGAAAACGCCCGCACTCCCATTCCACGGCCTAGCGGCACCCCCGCGCTGGTCGCGCGATGGGTCGGTGATCTGAGACCAGGGCAAGCGGGTCGCCGCGGCTTCGCGGAGGCGCGGGCGGGAGGGCGGGCACGACGTGTTGTCTTCTTGGTTTGTCGAAGCGTACCCGCAACACCCCTTTGTACCTACACATATATAGTGCACAGACACGTAAAATCGTGTGCGTTTGGGTGTGGCAACGCATGGATGTGGGTGGGCGGGGCGAGCACTCGCCTTCCTTTCGGGCCCTTGCCCAGATGACGTAGTGGACGCTGGTGCGCCCGCTCGGAGGGCCCGTGCCCGACGTGTGATTTTGACTTGAGGGCCCGTGCCCACGTGACACCAAGATGAGGTGTGAATAGGACTATGAGAAAGAAAGATCACATGAGTGATCATGCGTGCATGCTGCTTGCATGTGCTCACAATCATACATGACAAATACCTGGCGACATGACGGCATGCTTCATTCCCGTGAGGTGTTTTCCAACGCGCGCAACGCGTTGCGCGCGGCGGAAAACGCACGCACTCCCATTCCACGGCCTAATGGCACTCCCGCGCTGGTCGCGCGATGGGTCGGTGATCTGAGACCAGGGCAAGCTGGTCGCCGCGGCTTCGCGCCCACCGTGGGGCGATCGCTTGTCCGACACATCGTCGTGATCGGCGCAGGACTACTCCACGTCGGCAGTGGATTGGCGCGGACTCGACTACTGACCGACCGTACTTGCGAAAGATATTCTTTTACACTGAATCAGGGTGGTCAATTAGGAGTGATCGGGCCGCTGCTTCTTCGACCTGGTGGTCCCGGAGGTATTGCACAAACGCCGAGCTGGTCCAGTCGCCCGCTCGGAGCAACGTGGCCAGGCTGCCGCTGGCGTCAACAATGTCGCGGGCCATGCCCCTCCTGAGTGCGCGCGTGCCGAGCAGGGTTGCGTCTGCAAATCTTAGCAGACGGGCGTGCTCTCGCAATCGCTGTAGGAAAACCGACGGAGATCTCGTGAACACCCGTTGTCGACCCTGGTGTCGCGCTAAGGCAACGAGAGGCTGGAGGTGGTGGAAGGCGCACAGCAGTCTTCCGGACTGTCTGCAGCAACGATGCTAAAAGACGAATCACCCTCGAAACTAATCCGGGGGTGGTTGCCGCTTATCTCTAGGGGGATGCACTCCGATTGTATTCTGAACATGCAAAGGTGGCCTAACGCGTACAGCGCAGCTTGTTCGACGTCCCCCATTTCTTCTGCACGCGCGACAAAATGTCGGACCCGCGGAGCCTGCAATTCCAGCCGCTGCCGGGGAGGATCTGCCGACTTTGCACTACCTCGGTGCGCCTGCCTCACAGTGTCGGTGAACCGATCTTTGCGCAAACGCAAAAACCGATGGGCCCAGCGAAGGTGTGTGAAGTACGTCTTTAGCGTGCCAGCCTGTCGGAACAAGCAGCGCACGCCAGCGATGTACGATGGCAAAGAACGCGAGATTGCAGCAAGCATGTTCCTGTGACCCGATCCGTCCAAAAGTGTGTCCCGACCGTCTCCGGCAGCCGCCAAGACAGCAATCGCCTGCTGGGGAGGCAGTCGCTCTGTGACCAGGCGGCTCAGACCTGCTGTGCTCATACGCTCCGCGAACGTTTGCCGTCCGAGCGTTTGTGCAATTGACTGCTCCTTGTCATGCTCGTGCATGGCCTGTGCCACGACCCAGCCGCTACGCTCTTCTGGAAGCAAAGCCGTCAGGCGGGATAGCCACCATACAGCGCCCGAGTCTTGCGGGGGCGGCCCCGCGACCAATTCAGCAAAGGCTTGGGCTCGCTCCGCCACTGGCGGGATTGAACGCGCCACAGGGCGCTCCACGAGGGCAAGCACCTCCTCACCACGTTCACCGATGGCACCGGCGCCAGTGGGAGGTTTCCTTTTCTTGTCGCATACCTGCCCCTGCGCACCAGAACGTGCGGCGGCCCACGCCGCAGAAGTGAAAGGTGGAACGGTATGTTCTCCGCTGCTGTGCTCCTGTAGGACGTGCTGCCGCCCGCGCGGCCTAGCCGTCCACGCAGCCGACGTGAACGGGGGCACTTCAGCCATGTCCTCACAACCTGTGTGCGCTTTGACCCGAACCGATGGACAGCAGGTTGACAGAAGGCATTACAACGTACTGCAAAAGAGGCGAAGAAGACAACAATAGAGATAATAATAACAAGCATAGACAAGAGCCAATGCACCACGATGTGAACAAAGCTCCGACATGTCTCCATATCGGGATCGTGCCCCACGCATGTGCAACTCCCCCTGCACAAGGGCCCGCGCTCGCCACTTCCAGGTCTATGTCTGCACCAACAGTCCGAGACAGCGCAAACTCAGGGCCCTGGCCCGTCCATTTCCTGAAGCTCCTGCCTCTGGGGCCCGATTAGGCCCGTGCCAGTGCAATCCGAAAGAATGTATTATGGACAACGCTGAAGCTCACTCCTGCCAATCATTCGGGCCCTTGCCCAGATGACGTAGTGGACGCTGGTGCGCCCGCTCGGAGGGCCCGTGCCCGACGTGTGATTTTGACTTGAGGGCCCGTGCCCACGTGACACCACGATGAGGTGTGAACAGGACTACGAGAGAGAAGGATCACATGAGTGATCATGCGTGCATGCTGCTTGCAAGTGCTCGCAAAAATACGAGACAGATGCCTGGCGACATGACGGCATGCTTCATTCCCGTGAGGCGTTTTCCAACGCGCGCAACGCGTTGCGCGCGGCGCAAAATGCAACGCCCGGATCTCAAGGAGAACCCGCCCCCTCTGTCTCCCCCCTGGGCGCTCCGCCGATCTTTGGCACCGTCCGCCAAATCGAGCGGAGCGAACTACAATCCGCTACCTCCCTGGACGTTTCCCAGGTGCCTTCTGCTCCTCCTCCTTCTCCTCCTCCTCCTCCTCCTCCTCCTCCTCCTCCTCCTCCTCCGCTTCCTCCCCCCGCTCCTAGCCCTTTCGATCAGGGTCGGCGGCACCGGCCGTCAGGCCTCTCCAATCGAGCAGAGCGAACTACAATCCGCTACCCCCCTGGACCTTTCCTGGGTGCCTTTTGACCATACCTTCAAGGGGAATCCAGCCGCGGCGACGAGGGATCTCCAGGACGAGCGGCGGTGTTGGTACGTTTTCCTCCTCTGACTCTGCAATCCCCCTGGGCTCGCCGCCGAGCTGTGGCACCGCCTTCGGTGGCAACTCATGGGAGCCTCCCATACCATCTCGTGGGCTGTTGCGAATCGACGCTGGTCGACGCTAATTCGATGCTAATCGACGCTACATCGACGCTAGCCGACGCTAGTTCGGCACTGTCTCATCGACTCCCGGACGCTGATCGACGCTAGTCGGCGCTAAAGACTGCATTAAAATGGTATTTCAGGCTCCCATGAGAGGGGCAACGATAGGGAGGGGGCTAGCACAAGGGGGGGATGCATCGACCTGGAATCGGCGATACGTCGCCGATCGATCAGCCATGGGCCCCCGATAGTGACTCCGCACCTTCCTGGGCGGGTTGGGGCGGCGATCAATGGGCGATTGGCGATCGAAGCACCACCCCTCTTGGAGGCCTCCTAGATGGGGTCGGAGTAGATGGGGTCGGAGGATCGTGCCGCATCGCCGATACACCGCCGATACATCGCCCATGCATGGGCGACACTGGCGATGCACCGGCGACGCCAGCGTGGAGAAAATCGGGCTCCGCATCGAGCCGCACCGCCGATGCATCGGCGATGCGGCGCCATCCTCCGTCCCCACCTGCCCGGACCCCACCTGGGAGGCCCGGACCTGTGCCCATCCCCCCCCCCTAGGGGTGGGGTTCGCCTGTGCCCATCCTAAAACATGGCTAGGATCGGGATAAATCGCTCCAGAGCGTTCTGGAGCGCTCTCAGAGCGTTCCGGAACGCTCTGGAGCGGCCGCGGCGCCCCATACATCCTCCAAACCCGCTGATCCTCAGAGATTTCGAGCTATCCCGATCCGACTTTGTCCCGATCTTCGCGTCGTTTTACATCCCCCCCTCCTCCTCCTCCTCCTCCTCCTCCTCCTCCTCCTCCTCCTCCTCCTCCTCCTCCTCCTCCTCCTCCTCCTCCTCCTCCTCCTCCTCCTCCTCCCCCTCCTTCCCCTCCTCCTCCTCGTCCTCGTCCTCGTCCTCGTCCTCGTCCTCCTCCTCCCTTCCTCCCCCCCCTAACCGTTGCCCCGGACCGTGCCCTGCCGCCGAAGCCGCCCACGAGACCCCACGGAGCGGGCTGCACCCGCGGCCGGCCTTCCGCGCGGGCGCGTGCCGCTGGCAGGCCGGCGCGCGCAGGCCGTGGTCCGGCCTCTCGTGCGCCTGGGCTCCCACGGGAGGGGGGGGCAGAGGACTACATCGGAGGGTGCCGACTATACACCAACACCGATCTTGGCCAGGCCAATCCTGGGCCCAGGATCGGTGCATGTGCCTTCTTGCCCCAGGCTGGAGGGCGTATACACCGATCCTGGGCCCAGGGTGATCCTGGCCGGGATCGGTGCTGGTGTATAGTTGGTGCCCTCCTGACTACTGTTACGGGTCTGACCTCAGGAGCGGTACGGGAGCAGCGGAGCCCCTCTTTTGCCCAGGCGAGTCTGCGGAGTCCGAAGGAGCGGCCAACCCGCCATCCAAGACCTGAGGGCATGCTAGGGGGGCTCGCCGCCGAAAAGGTGGCGGAACGCATGCAAACCTGAGGAGCGACCGAGCCCCTTCAAGCCGCTCGCTGTAAGAGGCCTCCTAGATAGGGTCCGAGTAGGTGGGGTCAGAGAATCGCGGCGCACCGCCAATGCATCGGCGATACATCCTTCGGCGATACATCGCCGATGCGTCGGCGATGCATCGGCGACATCGGCGATGCATCGGCGACGCCATCGTGGAGAAAATCGGGCTCCACATCGAGCCGCATCGCCGATGCATCGACGATACGGCGCGATCCTCCAACCCCATCTACTCCGACCCCATCTAGGAGGCTTAGATGAAGGTTGGCGGCGAGCGAGGTGGGGGAAGTTCGGCGGCGAGCTAAGGGGGGAAGTGAGAAGCAGAAGGCCTTCTCAGAAGGCGGCGAGACTGCTCAGAAGTCCATGCGCCTTCTGCTGCATTTTCTGTGTCTAGGGCTCTCCAGGGCTCTGGTCGTGATTTTTCGCGATGTTGCACTTTTGGTCCGCAACGTCAGCGGGCCTTCTCGGAAGTTTCCGGAGCCTCCTCCGAAGACGCGCCGAAGGGCGGAGAAGGCCTGGCCCCCTCCTCCTCCTCCTCCTCCTCCGCCTCCTCCTCCTCCTCCTCCTCCTCCGCCTCCTCCTCCTCCGCCTCCTCCTCCTCCGCCTCCTTCTCCGCCGAAGGGCGGAGAAGGACTCCTCCTCCTCCACAGAAGGCCGAAGGGCTTCTGAGCCCCGCCGCCTCCAGGCGGAGAAGGCCTGGCCCCTCTCGCTTCCCCACCCCCTCGGCGCGCCGCCAGGAAGGGGCGCGTGCGGCATGCCCGTGACGTGACGGCTTCGACGCGTCATACCTTGAATATTGGACTGTATAGGCCGACAACTAACCGACTGAGGTCGATAGAGCCCCGACTACGTCTTATCCTCAGCTGTGATCTAATAGGTGGACTTATATACGCTGCCTCGATTTAGAGCGGTAGCTTTCTTGCAGTACTATCCACTGCTATACTTGCACCGCGTGGATCGTTCGACCTTCGTCTTTGTCGTCGTCGTCGCCGTCGCCGTTGCCGTCGCCGTCGCCGTCGCTGGCGCCGTCGCCGCCGTCGTCGCCGTCGTCGTCGTCGTCGTCGTCGTCGCCGCCGCCGCCGCCGCCGTCGTCGTCGTCGTCGTCGTCGTCGTCGTCGTCGTCGTGGTCGTCGTCGTCGTCGTCGTCGTCGTCGTCGTCAGTCCCAAAATAAAAGGGACGAACAGAGAAAATAAACGTCATCGTCAAGTTAATTCCCTCCCTGGTTCCCCTCCCTGACGGGGAGGGGTACGGGGGGATAGTAGAGGCCTCCTAGATGGGGTCCGAGTAGGTGGGGTCGAAGGATCGCGCCGCATCGCCAATGCATCGCTGGTGTATCGCCGATGCATCGCTGATGCACTGGCGATGCATCGTCGATGTGGGCGGCGCATCGGCGACGTCGGCGTGAAACAAATCGGCGTGAAACAAATCGGGCCGATGCTTCGGCGATGCGCCGCCATCCTCCGACCCCATCTGCTCCGACCCCATCTAGGAGGCCCAGAGATAGGGGGGTGGGGGGGGCAGGGGGGGTGAAGGGGGGGGGGTCCTGGCTCAGATTAATTCCCGCCCCGGCCTGGGGTCCCGGCAGGTCCCAGGGGGTGGTCCCCCCTGTGGACAGGGGGGACGAGGGGACCACCCCCTCCAAGGGGGTCGCTAGTGGAAGTCCCAGGGAGGTCTGGGGGGTGGTGGTCCCAGGTCTGAGTGCCGCCCCCCCCCGGGTCCCGGCGGGTGTGGCGCCAGCGGGGGGGTCCCCTCGGAGGGTCCGCCTTCAGGGTGGGTGGCACCGGCCGTAAGGCCTTCGTAATAGAATGATGAAGAAAGGCCCAGGCCGACCTGGAGCGACACCGGTCATGAGGAGAAGGGGTGTGAAAGCGAGGGTGGCGCTCACGAGGACGGCAATGCTGAGGAATAATACGAGAAACACCGGTGCAACCAGACAGTGATACGCACGTGTGGTCCTCCAGCCACGGCCGTGCCAAATCACACCCTTGCAGAGTCACGCTGGTTCATAGTTCATAGCCACATCCAACCGGACTGATAAGACAGCTCATGTGCGAGGATGGCCGGATGCATTTGACGCTGGAGTGAGGGCCCCTTTGGGTTCTGCTGCTGCTCCTCCTCCTCCTCCTCCTCCTCCTCCTCCTCCTCCTCCTCCTCCTCCTCCTCCTCCTCCTCCTCCTCCTCCTCCTCCTCCTCCTCCTCCTCCCTCCTCCTCCCTCCTCCTCCTCCTCCCCTCCTCCTCCTCCTCCTCCTCCTCCTCCTCCTCCTCCTCCTCCTCCTCCTCCTCCTCCTCCTCCTCCTCCTCCTCCTCCTCCTCCTCCTCCTCCTCCTCCTCCTCTCCTCCTCCTCCTCCTCCTCCTCCTCCTCCTCCTCCTCCTCCTCCTCCTCCTCCTCCTCCTCCTCCTCCTCCTCCTCCTCCTCCTCCTCCTCCAGGAGGGCTCCGCTCTTCGGGCCGCTCCTCAGGCCATGGGTCAGGGATAGCCTGCTCGTGGCCGAGGCTCGCCGTGGCCAGGAGGGCCCCATGCGCTCCCTCACTCGGCGCTCCCCGTGGCAGCACGAGGACCGTACTCCAGATTTCGTAATAAAGGGAGGGGGGTCTCATTTCGGGGGGGGGGTCTCTTCCAGGCTATCTTGGAGGGCCTGGGGGGGTCTGGGGACGATGTTTTGGAGGGTTCTCCCACGGGGGGGGGTCTGAAATGGCTTGTCTTGGAGGGTCCAGACCCCCTCCCTTTTATTACGAAATCTGGAGTGTGCAGGTGGCGGAGGGCTTCGTGCGAGACGAGGGCATCATCCCTTCTTCCTCGGGCGCTCCTTATGGGGGGCAGAGCACGGCATGCACAGGTGTGTCTGTGAAGGGGCCCCAGGCCACACCAATAGATACACACAGATGAACATATGCCCATAGTTTTTCCCATATCTTCTGGGTTTCTGTCTCCCCCCCCGCTTCCCATATTTTCTCATATTTTCGGGGGAATCGAGGATTCATTGTGTCTGTGTGTTTCTTCCTCTCCTGAGCCTGGAGGTCCGCTTGGATTTCTGGCATCGGCGCTGGAGCCACCTCCCTGGCGTGCGGAGCGCGCCAGGGGCAGCGCCGGAGGCGCCGCCGCCGGGGGGGGGCCCACCGTCGATCCGAGAAGTCCAGGCGACACTCCAGGACAGTATGCTCACAAGCTGTGTGGCGTTTCGATGTCGACGGGCCTTCCCCAACGGGCGAAGAACGGTATAGAATAAACTTTTTCGCTGTCGGGGGCGCCTGTCCCAGGGCGGCTGGAAAGTTTCCAGCCGCCCAGGGACAGGCGCCCCCGACAGCGAAAAAGTTTATGTTATACCGTTCTTCGCTCGCTGACTTCCCCTGGCCTGCCCGCACAGACTCTGTGTGCGTGAGTTCAGACGTGGGCGTCACGCGTCCTGGTGGCGCTGCAGCTCCCCGGTCGCGGCGAGAGCGCGAGCCAGACCCCGCGCAGGGGCAGGTGGATCCAGGAGGGCAACCGCGAGTCGGCGGCGCGCCCGAGGGGGGAGGGGGCGGGCCTGCCCTGTAAGAAGAGGCCACGGGAAAAAGACGTAACTGGACAGGAACAGATACGGAATCTCTGAGATCAGGCGGTTCTGGAGGATGTACCCAGCGCCGCGGCCTTCTCGGAGAGTTCTGGAATGATCTTAGAAGGTCCCCGCACGTTCTGCAACGGATTTGCTGCCGGACTTAGGATAGAAGAGCATCCTTCAAGAGCATGATACCCTCAACTGGTCCAAACTGAAGAGTATTCGAGGGCACCCTCCCCCAGGATGCACAAGAACATCCAACAACATACAGAAAACATCAGGGCACCCTCCCCGAACCGACCTCGATCTTCTACCTCGGTCCGACCGTATCCCTGTCCCAGCCCCGCCCGACACGGGCAAGAGGACGCAGGAGGGCAACCGCAAAACGGCGGCGCGCGCCCAGGGGTGGAAGGCAGAGGGGGCGGGCCTTCCCTGGAGACCTCCTAGATGGGGTCGGAGAAGATGGGGTCGGGGGATCGCGCCGCCTTGCCGATACATTGGCGATGCATCGGCGATGCACCCACGATGCATCGTCGACGTGGGCGTGAAGCAAACCTGGCTCCACATCGAGCCCGATCGGCGATGCCTCCGCGATGCGGCGCGATCCTCTGACGCCGTACACTGCGACCCTATCTAAGAGGCCTAGGTTCCCTGAGATCCGGGCCTTGCATCATTTTTTCACGCCAAACATCATGAAATGGCTTCGGGCCCTGAGGCCCTCACAGATCGATCCGGCTTGAAGAATGATGGAAGATTCGGCATAGGCCTCTGGTCGTGAACGAGCCTCCCAGAAAACTCAGCTCTGTGGCCCTCTGAAAAGCCTTCTGAGCCTTCTCTGAAGCCACACGGGCGAAGATAACATGTGGGTCTTAAGCGAGGTGGCATGGCGACCTTACGCCCCAGCTGGCGCGGGCCGCCGCCGCAGCACGCTACTTTGGAGACGAAGGCGCTCACGCGCGACCTGACGCGGGCAGCTTGCGCGCCTATGTGGGCACGCAACTCCGAGCAGCCCCGCCGCCTCCTGAGAAGACCTGCCCCCTCTCGATCCTCCATCCCGGCGCGCGCCG